TCTTTTTATTAACGTTCTTCATTCGAAACAATATACATCTAATGCGGTTACTGCTGCCGGACCTATGATTTCAACTGAACTATGATAACGCATCAAATCATCGGGCCAGGGTAACAACAATTTATTCATAAAAGATGTCTATCTCGTTGACTATTCACACACGACGTCCTTCACCTTTTCGTCAGTAGAAAAACGTTTTCTGTCCATGTGTTCTTTCAACAGGATAAAAAGAAAAAAGTCACTTGGTGTTAGGTCGGGACTATGGGCAGAATATATGGTTCAGAATATCCTAACGCAAAACGATCGATCTCCTCAACAGTTTTGGTTAAGATATTTTGAACCATCCTGCCCATAGTCCCGACCTAGCACCAAGTGACTTTCTTTCTTTTCACCCTATTGAAAGAACACACGGAAAACGTTTTTCTACGACGAACTGACTTTCTGACGAAAAGGTGAAAGACCGTGTGTGAATGGTCAAGGAAGGTGTGGTAGCAGAAATGTGTGACATAGGAATACAAAAGTTGATACCACAGCTCATCAAATGCTTGGACCGGAATGACGATTACGTGGAAAAATAGTGCTTTACTTGTGTAATATGTTATATAAGTTTTATTAATAAATATTCATTTTTCGATTTTTGTAAAATGTTGTAATCTTACTTTCCGAATATGCCTCGTACTTATGCAATTCTAATTCAATATATCCTGACCAAACATTGTTCTACACACAGTCGGTATTTATTTGAAGCATGTATTAATCATAAACTAAAGAATTAATGTAACGCAATTTTTACATTAATTTTTTATGTAAAAAGACTCATTATTATGATTAATTAATAAAAATAGATTGACAATGTACGATTTCAGTTTTTCTTTAAAAGATAGCTTTTAAAAAAATTGGTAAGGCAAGAGGATTAATCGAGTAATAATTGTTTTCGTAGGTGAGTCTGTTGGTAAATAATGCTGGATATGTCTACGGGAAAACTTTTATGGAATTACCCGATTGTGAAATTGAACAAACTTTTAAAGTAAATATTTTATCACATTATTGGGTGAGTATTAAGGAAATTTACATTTCTCTCCAATTTTTTTTACAAAAATTGTTACGCAACTTCCGATTTATATATTTTATCTAGAATTTCTTTACAGATTACAAAATCATTTTTGAAAAATATGATAAAAAATAATCATGGTCACATTGTGACAATAGCAAGTGTTGCCGGACTTTTAGGAATTTACAATTGCACAGATTATTCTGCAACTAAATTTGCCGCTATTGGTTGCCACGAAAGTCTTTTTACCGAACTCAAAGTATGTAAAAGTGTAATTATTGAATAAAGTGAATATTTTTGTATCTCATCATTTTCATTATATTAAAATTATCATTTTATTTATGTATTTTAAGGTACATGGACATGAAGGAATTCATATGACTTTAGTTTGTCCCTATCTTATTAATACGGGAATGTTCAATGGAGTAAAACCTAGGTTTGTGAAAATATAACATTATAAATTGCTGGAAAGACAATTATACAATTATTTATATATACAGTATTTTACAATAAGAAAATATTTCAAACAGAATGCTGCCGATGCTTGAACCAGAATATGTTGCTGAAGAAGTGGTCGCGGGCGTATTAGCAAACGAGGCGTTAATAGTATTACCTAACATCTTAAGATATTTATTGCCGTTTAAAGGGTAAGTTTAATAATGAAAAAATTATATACATATGTAGATATAACACACACACACACACACGCGCGCACGCACACACACAC